CTTCCTTAATTAAGAGAGAAGGGAAGCCACTACTCATTCTAGTCAATTCTTACACTTGAAAGTCTCCCCTATAGCATTTCTCTTCTATTCAGTGTCACTAAATCACTTTATATACTCAGTAAAAGTGATTTAAGAATACTATCCTATTTTTAAAGGACAGTATTTTTTTTTAAAGATTCATGTATTGTAAGTTCTTTGAGAAAAGGTATCAACCAAATTTAATACACACACTCACACATAAATATCTCATTATATACAATTAGCATAAAATTTCGCATACTTTTTAACTGAGGAATTCCATTTTTGAGATTATATTAAAAAAAAAAATAACCCAAAAGGAGATTTTAAAAACCTTACATGTATGAAGGTATTCATCATGGTATTATCTACAGTGATAAAATATTAGACTTGACTCGAATCAAAAGTAGAGATGCTGCTTGTTTAAATAATTACACAGCAGCACAGTCAGCTTTATTTGTGAAACAAGGAAATAAAGGCTTACTTCTCTTAAAATAGTTATTCAGCAATTTGGAGAAATGTCATATGACCATTAAAATGATTGTTAAGAAGACTGTAGTTACAAATTGTATATGGCAGAAAGCCTAGTATAAATAAAGGTAGAATGCAAGATTTGACTAATTATTATAAATGTCTAAAAATCACATGCATGTGAACATAGAAAAAATAGAGGCTCTAAAATGGAAAACGAAATCGATTTGATTGCTAGAGTTCATCTGTTCATTCAACAAACCTTTATTTGGCACCTTCTACGTGGCATATGCCAGGTAGCAGTGATTTTTTTTTCTTGAGTTTTGAGTACATTATTGAGTACATTACCTAGTTATCATTTCGGTCTGGCTGTAAAATAATTCTAAGTGAATCATCAGCCAGGATTTAACTGGGAAATGAAAGGCTGTAAGCTTTCAGCAGATTTCTGTGAAGATCAGTATGCTCTCGCTTCTCAAGCAAATGAGCTGGGGAGCTGCTAGGCTTCATGGGAACTGCAGGAAGGAGAAGCTGCCACCTCAGCAGCAACGAGCACATCTCAGAGGAAGGCCTGGGGGGACAGGGGCAGTCAGGAGCAACCTGGCCTCAGACGAAGTGAATGATGGTTTGTTTTTTTCACCTTATTTTCCAGGATGCCATCCTTCAAAATCGAGAGTTTTGGCAATTGATCAAAAAAGTATTTGGATTCTATTCTAAAAGTCAGTATAGGAACTGGCAAAAAAAGCTGGCAGAAGACTCAACCTGGCCTCCCACAAACAGGACAGATTATTCAGACGATGGCAAAAATGGATTCTATATCAACCAAGGATATGAAAGCTCTGAACAGATTCGAAAGGAAAAACTCAAATGGGAAGGCCAAGCCACAGAACAGCATTTCTGGACCAGACTGTAATCAGAATTGTTGTTACGTGCTTACCAGCAACTCTTTTTTTCCCAGAAACTGTTGAGAGGCTATGATCACCTACCCTTATCTTTTCTCTCTCCATCTGAGCACATTTCTCAGTGTCTTGAGCTTTGCATCAAAGAATCTTAAATATGCTTATTTTGAATGTATCTTCTAACACTGAGAAAAAAATACATTGCCTAGATTATTGTCTTTTTTCTAATAAACTTAATTCACATTACATAGCATTATCCTGGTTAAAATGTACAACTTTTTACAATAGTGAAATTAATACTATGAACATGAATTTTAAAAAAGAAAAAATTGAATTTGAGCTTTGAAGGTTTAACACGTATTATTTTAATCTACAGAAATAATATGAAAAAAAAAACCTTGTCTGTCGTCACAAGTATTTATTTAACCTTATATTTATTTGTGAAGAACATTTATGTACATATCTTTTTCTAAGGTCACAAAATTCTCATTTTGCTTCTTTCATATGGTTTTAACAGAGAAATAAGAATTGACATTTACTTTAGAAAATTCAACTCTGACTGTAGTAAGCCAGAACTCGGTGGAAGTAGAGAATGATGGAGGTTTCTATTTATTGCCTACAATCTTGGCTCCAGTCCAGCTAAGTTCTAACTACACTCCACTGAAGCTGGCATCTCCCAAAGTATATTGCTTTTGGGCCAGTGAGCTACAAGGTCCAGAATAGATCACAAAAATAATGAGATAAATTTTACCTTTGTTAAAATGTACTTTTCATTTAAAGAACATAGCACTTTTAATTACTCTTTATTACTGACATGAAAAGCTCACATTCTATCTCCAAAAGTTGCCCCAAACAGAGCATTGCTCATTTAAAAAAAAAAAAAAAAATCCTAGGGGAGGGACCCAGCATGGCAATTAATAGGCTACTAAACAATCTTAAGTTCCATCTCATGTTTTCATTATCTAAATCAATTATTAGATGTGCATTAACAACCATACGAAAGGGTACATCCTTTACAAATATATTGTGTACACTTTTACCTTTAACATACATCAACCCCACTGTGAACTTGAGAGAATATTTATTCCTAGTGAATATTTTATATTATCCACAAGGCTTTCCTTGTAACGATAAATCTAATTTTGCTAACCTAACAGATCTTTAACAGTTCGTAGGCAATTAGGTAACCAGTCCCATTCCATGAATACTAAATATGTGCCTAACACTGATGTGGGAATTCAGTTCTGAAATCTTTAGAATTGAAAATGTTTTCAGCATTTCATCAATTCATTGCTATAAAAAGTATTATGTACTTTGTTACACAAACCAGCAGCATAAATGCAAATTTTTATAAAAACAAACCCTCTATATTTACGTTTTATTTCCTTTTTAAGCTTTTTTTGGTGCACAGCTCTTGGAGAGTGAAAATTTTCAAAATGTTTCTAATTTAGTGGCTACTAATAAAAAATAAAAAGACAAAAAATATTTAGCTTATGATTAAGAAATGTATGCCAACATAAAAAATATGGTAACTCGGATTCTTGAGCTAACATCTGTATTTATTAACTTGACCTTTGTAGAGTGAGAAGATTCAATTGATACACCATAACATTTAGATAGTATAAAAAGTTTTTTTTTTTAATCTTAAATAAATGTACAATCTTTTTTCCCCCCAGTTTTCCCAAAAACCTGTTTGGTATCTGATAGGTGATAATCTTTATTTCATGGAACGTGATAAAGTTGAACTCTATACATGACTTCGTTAAAAATATGCTCAGAGAAATGTTTAAAGGTTTGGGAGGAAAAATATTTGATAAAAGCAAACTGAGCATGGTCACATACCAAATAATTAACTATAGGAAAAACAAACTGACAATCTTAAACTGCCCATCAACAAGAGTGGCCAGTTTTATGGGAACACTGATGATTAACTTTGTGAGCTTATCTCTAAGTGTGAAAACTAAGAGAGACTGGAATACTATGTAAATAATGAATCCATGAATTTAATTTAAAAGTGCATTTGTAACATTATCCAGCATAGCAAAGACTGTCTTCTGGAGTGGAGAAGTCCAGAGTTCTCTGTAAAGGTTTGACTTGAGGATCCTCAGAAGGCCTGTCCCCAATTCTGCTCCCTCCCCCGTTCACCAGTGTTGTAATTCCACTACACTCACGTCTCCTGCTTTGGGTTAAGATTTGCCTTCTGTAGTCATCCTTCATTAAAAGGTAAACACACTTTGGAAAAGGTCATGCATTAAATTTCCATCAATCTCACCCTAATTTGACAATACTAGAAAAGAGCTTTTTTTTTTCACTGTTACTTGAGAGTAGGACATAAAAGAATCAGGAAACTAAATTTAGAATGAAAATGAAAGGGTATTTTTGAATTATGGTATCTGGTTGGAGACACTCATAACTCCCCAGAGGACTAGTGGAGGAAGAGAGAGTTTTGGGGTTTATCTGGAGACAGAATTGGAGCCATAGGAAAGGGAAGGGGTTAATCAGGGGATAGGGAAGAGACATAAGATCTCTACTGGCCCTGATTGTAGTACATGACCCCTTCCGTTATCATTCTTCTTAACCTCCTTCAATTAGACTGTAAAGTATTTGGGGGTCTAGGGTAAAATCTGAATCAGTTTAATAGGTCTAGGATTTTCACTGAGTCTTCCGTTTAGTTACTTTATCTACCATATTCCTAGTTTCCTCATTGTACACCCACATCAATATTTACTCGAACTTGTCCTTTATTTAATGCCATGCTTTTAATGATGTCACAAGAAGGATGTCATTGGCTGCCAGTGTGTTTTGTAGGGTAATGTTATAAAGTCTGATATAATCCTAAGGGTATAGAGACCGGCAACTATTTTTCCCCAGCTGCTACCAACAAGAATTCCACTGGAAAGGTATTCAAAAGTAGTTTCTGTTAACACATTATCACTAAAATGAAAGAATAAAATCATGACTCTCCTTGACTTATAGGAAAAGCCTTACAAAGTAACATGAGATATTGTTTTCTAAATATGGCACCTCAAACCTACCTTAATGATCTCTTTCTAAGGTTAAAATGGCCAAACTCTTGAAATACTTCAAAATCTAAAAGAAATAATGAGGGTAAAAGGAATAGCCCATTCTTGCTTGTCACATACTCCTGACAAATGAGTCACTTCTGGGAAAATCACTGGATCTGAAACACCAGAGCAAAGACAATCCCCTCCCCACCCGCACTCCACCCCCATCATCTACACAGGAGCAAAAAGATAGGTGTCCACCTTCAAATGACATGCTAATCAAAGTTCTTCAAACTGCCTAACCAAATGCTGAATTTCCCAGTTTCTCTCCTGACCAGAAAAGGAATATGAATTTAGATGTCAACTCTAACAATTTAGGGCTCTTATCATATTTTTCAAAATCATATATAAGCTGTCTTCTTTCTCCTGGCAAATACAAAATTGCTACCCTTGGGGAAAAAGAAAATAATATTTATTGTAGAAGATAAAATATAATGTGATTTTGTTAAGATCCTCTGCTGGTTCACTCAAAAGGCTACTGCTTCTTGTTCAAGCTGCCACAGCAAATCTATGCTAGTAGGGAGAAAAATTTCCTTGGCTCATAATGAGATAATATCAGTAAGCAATTTATTAAACAGCCTGCCATCCATTATTGGAATTTTGAACAGAAATGATGCCTTGAAAATAAGTATTCATCCCAGGTTTTTTTTCCCCCTTCTCACAAACTCCAGTTCCGATATCTCTTCAGTAAATTTTTAATAATATTTTGCTCTTTGTCTTTTTGGAAACAAGCCCAGGAATGAGAAGACACCAGCAACAGCTGTCACAAATCCAATAGTGCTTATTGCTCGGTTGGCCTGTAATGAAATGAGAAACAAAAAACAGATCTTATCTAAAGGCATCTCAGTATCGTAAACCCAAGCTTTAGCTCGTTTCTTAAACAAAAGACCCATCTTAATGTACAATGGACAAATTTAAAGCTCAATGCAAAGTTAAAATTTTGTATGAAGATGAATAAATGAATTTATAATTTTTATAATTATGACAGATATAAATACACAATTGTATTGCTGGGATATTTAGCTACAGGTTGAGTTTTGAACCATATGTTCTCCTCCTACACAACCCTACCCCCTAAACATACATTACTTTGGTCAGGTCTATACCGGGGTGTGTGTGTGTGTGTGTGTGTGTGTGTGTGTGTGTGTGTGTGTGTGTGTGTGCATGCGCGCACATGTGCACATATGTATTTTCTCTCTGACTCAAGAACCTCTGTTAGCAAAATAATTCAGGGATGGGATCTGAGCTAATTACTTATAAACTCTTATTTGGTAGATATGATTTGTATTCTAATAAACTTCAAGAAAAGTCAATACTAATGTTAACTATCATGTCAAAAATTAATTTCTTATGTCGACAAACTAAAATAAACCACTTTCAAGCTCAATCGTCCATAAAGGAGTTCAGACATTTATGGCTTTAAGAGTATTAATCATCACCATGATGAGGGATCTAATGAATATTCATGGATTTTTCATGTCACTCAACTAACATTGCCTTCTGTCTGCATGGGTTTGAGTGCAATTTTATGACTCGAAGGTCACATTCAGATACTTCAGTGGCAGGTATTCTGAAAACAACAGTTGTTCTCTGGGATTTAAGAATCAGGCTCTCAAAAAAGCAAAACATTTTTCCCAAATGACTCTGGGGACCAGCCCAAATACTGGAAAGCCTGACCCAGCTCACATGCAAGCATGCCCTCTGTCTAACCCACAAGCCTCCTCCACTCCCCCATATTACTGGCACAAGGCTACCTCCCCGAATGAAACTTCCCTGTTGGGAACAGGCAGCAAGAGCCACAGTGACAGGAGTGTTCACTCTATTATACCATCCAGCGGTCTGCAGAGACAAAGCCTATGACTGCAACTCTCTGCTCTGCCATCTTCCCCGGTTGCCAGGGATAATGGGACGGGCAAACAACTAACAAATTCTATTTTAGTTTACAATTCTAATTTCACGTATTTATTTGGTTGATTATTTATTTTATTTACAAGTTTTAATTAGTCTCTATCTAAGTTATTTCCCAGGAGAGAGTCAGAATTCACCGTAGCATAGAGCTGCCCACATAGTACATGGGGTGAAAAAAAGGGGCAGGGAGATACAATATACAGGACAAAATTCCAAAGATGAGTGGACTCGATAATCAGACAGGGATCAAGGATTAGACATCAAACCTAACCCTCACATAATTCCAGGCAGGTGCTGAGATCCCAAGAAGGTTTGATACAAGGAAGTGTAGCAAACAATGAAAAAATAGAAAGGTGCAATAGATATCTTTAACCAGACATGTCAAATGGCAGCAGGGCACATCCCTGGGAAAACTCAGGATCCTGTGGGTAGAAGGGCCCTAGCTAGATGCAGCTTTAACACACTGGCTATCTTTCAGCCACTAGAAACAGAAAATGTGAGAGAAATCCCATAAATCTAAGAGGCCTAAGGTGGGGATGGACAACTGGATCCTAAAGCAAAATCCCCTGAGATCAAACAGGCCACATACAATAATAATAAAGCCACTTACGGCAGTACATGCAGTTTCCAAAATCCCAAATGCTTATTTCAAGTTGCATTCTAGACAGCAACACCCCATGTAATTTGGGCGATCCTTTGGAGTTATGCGTAATGGGATCTAACCTGCAAGATTATAATATCCCAGGCTATTCTTGGTGAACTAGCATGAACAAGAATTTTTACTTTACGATTTACTTAGGATTATAAAATCACCAAATCCAATTCTGCACACTTTGGCCTTTCTAGGGCTTTCTGTCTGCAGCCCACAATAAAGGCCTCATTCTGAGGATCTATACATGCCCAATGAAATGTTAGTTGAATCTGGAGTTCAGTGTCCAGACATAGTATAGTTGGGTCACAGATGACTGCAGGGTTGATCCAACTACACAGTCAGGGTGTGTTGTGTGTCAGCTTGTCAAGGGTCCTGCCATCTTCTACAAAGGTAGACACATTTTAATAACTTGTTTAGACTATAACAGTGAAAATGTTGATTTTAGAAATTATTAAAAATACCGAAAAGATAAACTGTAGATGAGAAAACATTTGCGAAAGACAAATCTGATAGATTGTTATCCAAAATATGCAAAGAACTCTTAAAACTCAACAGTAAGGAAACAAGCAAGCAACCTAATTAAAAATGGGTAAACGATCTCAAATGACACATCACCAAATGTGACATGCAGATGGCAAATAAGCACATGAAAGATGCTCGAGCAAGCAACCTAATTAAAAAATGGGTAAAAGATCTCAAATGACACATCACCAAATGTGATATGCAGATGGCAAATAAGCACATGAAAGATGCTCGACTTCCAATGTACATAGGCCATTGCAAATTAAAAGGAGAAACCACTACATATTTACTAGAATGTCTAAATTCCAAAATGCTGACAACACCAAATACTGATGAGAATGCTCCTGGAGCAACAGGAACTCTCACTAAAGATGAGAATGCAAAATTGTACAACCACTTTGGAAGGCAATTTGGTAGCTTCTTACAAACCTAAACATATTCTTATCAGACAAACCAGCAATCATGCTCCTGAGTATTTACTCAGAGAAGTTAAAAACTTAGATCCATACGAAAACCTGCACAAATGTTTCCAGCAGCTTTATTCATAATTACCAAAACCTGAAGCAACCAAGAGGTCCTTCAGCAGGTGAGTGAACATCCAGACAATGGAATATTATTCAGTGATAAAAAGAAATGAGCTATCAAACCATGAAAAGACAGGGAGGAATTTTAAATGCATATTGCTTAGTATAATTTTAACTATATGACATTCTGGAAAGGAAAAACTATGGTGACAATAAAAAGATCTGTGGTTACCAGAAGTTTAAGTGGAGGGAGGGATGAATAGGCTTAAAGCAAAGAGGATTTTTAGGACAGGGAAACTATTCTGTAATGATACTTGCCAAAACTATTCTGTAACTTGCCAAAACCTAAAGAATGTACAACAGAAAGAGTGACCCTAATGTAAACTAGCTTTAGGGGAAGAAAGTGTTTCCTTTACTCATCTTAGGTTTAGAGCTGAACCTCCATAATAAAAGAGATGAACAAGAGAAAAACCCATGGAAGTTTCTTAACATATACATCTCATATATATTTAGGGAAGAGTAACTCAAAGATGTGGTTTAGAATTCAGGCTTATACAGCGTTTTCAAAGAACAAAGAACAATGACAGGACAAAAGAAAGTGGTTTTAGGCTTCTAAGGGCATAAAACTGTGGGAAATTAAATATACAAGAACGGAAGGGCAGATAAAGGCTAGTTAGCAAAGTTATGCAGATTCCTCTGGTGCCTTCTCCAGGCTGATAAAGAAGGGTCTTGCCCTAACCGCAGGTTGTCTCCATGATTAGGTTTTGTATTTCCTGATAAAGAGGGGGAGAAGGGACACCTGTGAAAATTTATGTCTTGCTTTTAGGCAAATAGAGGGAGGGCAGGGAGCTTTTTGTGCATCTGCTTCTTCTCAATGCCTTCAGCTCAAAATAATCTTTACGCCAAAGTGATATATTTTGGGGTGACATATTCTGGTTTCTTTCACTATGTATTTTGGTTGATAATGATGTATCAATGTTGGTTCATCTTTTGTAACAAATATAGCACACTGATGTGGGATGTCGATGGTTGAGAAGGCTCTGTATGTGTGGTGGGAAGGGAGTATATAGAAAATGAATGCTTTTAGTTCAATTTTGCTGTGAACCTAAAACTGCTCTAAAAAATAAAGTCTATTAATTTTTGTAAAAATAAAGAAAAGAACAAAGAAGGAAAAGATGGGGTCACAATTCTTCCACCTTTCTCATCTTTTTAAAATGCATTTACAGTTGTTGTTTTTTTTTTTAATTAAAGGAAATACACAGTCATTCTCCAAGAAAACCGTTCTGAGAACAAGATCCCCAAACCTTTAAGGGAACCCAGAAAGCTAAGCTAAAACTACCTGTTACTGGTAGCAATACTATTAATTATTAATTGTAATAAAAATATTAATTCAAGTGCTATATTTACTCTTAGATCAGCAGCGATTTTATTGAAGAGTACCAACAAATATCTATAAAATTCCTAAAATAGTGCAATTGATAACAATATCTAAAGCACAGCATTTATTAAGATGGATAATACATAATACAGAATGTTAAGAGATTTCAAATATCCTCTATAATCTACAAAATAACCTCAGTTTATGAATTAGGAAACTGATAAACAATGTGCCTAAAGTTACTCAGCTAATAAGTGGTAAAGATGAAGTTCTAGCTCAAGTCAGCAGAATTCCAAAGCTTAAGTAGGTTCTTAAGGCTGTTACTGCACCGTCTTCATCAGAACCTGCTAGAGAACAGTTCTTAGTTGTTGAGGAATGATTAACTGTTTATGGCTCTTGATTCTGGGTATGAAAGATGAAAAGTAGACTGCAAGTGCAAACATAGTAAGAAGATGGCTCTAATTCCTTTTTATTTAGCCATAGTTTAAAAAATGCTTATTGAGTGCAATGCACAACTTTATCATTAACAACTTAGAAGAATAGACTTGATTTCTTGCTATACCACTAGTTTCTAAAGCAAAGGCAAAGATGAATTTGTGTGTATACACTCTGTGTTCTGGCTGAGAAGCAATTTATTGTTGTATGTGAATAGAACACTCATTATGTTAATGTAGTTCCCAATAAAAATGAATTTCCAATTAAATCATTTCTTAATGAAAACAAATGTATCCTTTCATTATATTTCATCTCCCATGTTCCCAAGCTTCCTTGAGAAGAATCGCAACCTCGTTCCTTAAAATAAATGTTTATATAACTGATCCATCATTTCAAGATACTGGAAGCCTTTATATATTAATTCTTTTGTACCATTTTAATAAATCTTTAGGTTAATATATCAGCAATAGAATTGAATTGGTAGGATGATAGGTAGGAAAAAGGCAATTGAATCAAGCATGCTTTTAGTTAGAAATCTGCCATACTGCAAATTAGTGTAGATAAATGACAAAATTGCAAAATCCTTTAAAACTGAGGTCAATTAATCCATTAAAAATCATCCAAAGCTCAATAAAAGAATCTACTTAAAAGTACAAAATTCATTTGAAACTAGCATTGTGAGAAGATAGAAAACATTTACAAACCCATGAAGATATGTTATCAGTTGGCCTTTGCCAGCTAATGAAAAAGAATCTCAGGATTACCATCTGTTTTTGATAAGTGAACTACCACTCAAAAAAGTCAATGTTCTTTTCAACATATTCTTTTTAGTATATCTGATTGGAGACTGCTGTATGGTAGGGTAATAGGGAAAAAAATTGAAGGGCAGAGGGCAATAAGACTGACAGAAAGCTATGGTCTTGATTCTGCTTCAAGTCCCTTCTACCCCAAATTCATGATATTCATGTTCTAATCCCAGTTTGGTCATTAACTTGCTGCATGACCTTGGACAACTCAATTCTCTTCTTTATTATTCAATATTCACATGTTTTCTCATTCTTATCATGTCATTTGAGGCTTGAGAACATGATCATAGTCAGTAGTTATTATTTCCTCAATGTAAGACACTTCTTACATGTCTCCTAAAGAAAACTCACCTGCTCTGAAACTCCTTCTCCATAGCGAAGCAAAGTCACAAAATGCTCGCAGTTGTTGACCAATATGTCATACTCCACCTCCTGTCCAATAACAAATTCTGACCGGTGCATGACTTCTTCCATGGGGAGAGGCGGGTATGTTTCATCGTACTTATTGTTTATTCTGTATCTGTCATTTCCTGCAACATCCTTCAAGAGCTGCATCCTCACCAGGGCCTTTCTGCTGAATATAGACTTGGCGCTTGTAAATGATGCAGGGATATCATCCTCTATAAGGAGAATTCTGGTTAGTGACCCAGCCCAGTGAACTCCTATGCCATCTAAAGACTTTCAAAGTGCTACGATAACTAAACCTAGCTCCGTTTCTAACTCATCATCAAACCAAAAAACAATCTTACCAGCCTTAAGCATTCACTGTAATTTATCAGTAACAGTTATTCAATACTGTATGAGTGAGAAGGTAAGAAACTTTTGAAAAGCTGTATCTCCCTGTAGATCATATTAGGTGAGAAAACTCTACCTCTTCTTGAGTAATAAGTTCTCTATCAATCGGTATAATTATTAGAGATCTTGGTATATGTTTTTAACATAGTACAGATAAGATCATTGCCCATGTTTTCTGTAAAGCAGTTTTTTCTTCAGCATGTGAACCCTTCCCAACTAACATAGTTGGGCTTTAGCAGTAGTTCGTTATGATTAATACTGTCTAAACTGCATTCTTTACCCTCATTTCCACTTTGTACACTTATTCTTTCAATGAGGCTTCAATTTGGGTCCAATTTGAAATCTGCATGATACTCCAGTCCTCTGAGGGATGAGCTGGGATCAGGCCGGGGCACTGATTTTGTCTCGCCAGGTTCTTTGACCAAGAAACTAAGTCCTGAACCTAACCTAATATACACTGTCTGCTAGATGTGGCTCCATGCTGTGGCTTATCCACCTGTTAGAATGCCCTATGCCCCATGACTCGGTCCTAACTTCCTCTATGGGTAAGCATTTGCCTAAGGCTACCAGGGACCTTTCTACTCTGGTCTGTTACAGTCGGTGTCCGAGGGTGGACAGATGATTCCTCAGTGTTCAGTTCTAATGCCAGGCTCCAGTCCCTCTCCATCTGCCCAAGACTGCTATGCTTGCCATTGTTCTAATAAATTACAAGAAGAAGGGTCTCTAAATAACCAATGTTTAGACACATTCCCTTTTAGTAATGACTAAAAGCAAACTTTTTTTTCCATTCCTCTTTTTTTCTATCATCCAAGTTCCTTTTCCTTGGAGCAGCATTTCCAGTTTTTTTTTTAAAGTTTTTACATATTTCAAGTTCTTAGCACACTTATAGCCTAGTTAGAATTATAAACTCTCTCTCTCTCTCTCTCTTTTTTTAACTAGTCCAATATAATCTATTTACAGATGAAGAAATTGAAGCTTGGAGAGGTTAATAGACTTACAAAGTATCACATGACTAATTAACAGAAACAGGAATTGAATTTCAGTCTATAGGATCAATGCTCAGTGCCTGAACCACATTAAATTAATATGGAGCTTAAGACATGAAAATAAAGAAACAGCACCAAGATCTCATATTATTTTCCAGATGTGAAAAGTTCAGAGATAACAGAGAGAGTTGCTAAGTGTTAATCACCAGACTGGCCAAAAACTGCCACCTCTGTACTATAAATGTCATCTTATTTGCTATTTCTATTTTCAGTATTCTGGAAAACAGACAAATATCTCAAAATATTGCAGAAACTACTTTATTAAAAATTCTCAGAAGTTCTCGAAATAATAAGACCTTGGCCTATAAACACTTCTGTTTAAAGGTATCTTGAGGAAAAAAAATACTCCAGGCTATTTGTTATTTGCACACACTTTTCTTAATAAATTTTTGCTCATTTCCAAACATTTAGAAAATAGAGCAAAACATGTAAATATTAAATATGTGTTATTCTGCCACCCAGAAATAACTACTATTATTTTGATGTACTTTTATTATGTCTTTTGTTAACAGGTATATAGATTGCATATATGTTTGTATATTTATGTGTCTATGTTATTTCTCTGCAAACTGGATGTCATATTACATGTTGCATTTTAATTTGGAATTTTCAAATAAATATAATATAAGGATCATATCTCACATAATTAAATACATCCAAAAATGTGATTTTTAATGGCTTTTATAGTGGCTATTGTTTTGCACCCCATCTGACTACCACCCTTATCTTTCTGGAAAAGACTGTTTAGGTTAATCAGTATCCCATTCTCCTGGGTACAGTGATGGTCTGGCGATGGGCATGAGATCCACACTGGATGAATTAGAGTCATTCTCCATGATTTTTCTAACCACAGCAGGCAGGGATTAGCTATAGGTCCTGCTGGGTCACAAAATTATAAGAAATGAGGGACTAAGGATCCTGGTGGCCATTAGTTCGGCTTCTTAGAGAAACATAGCCTGGGAGAATGACAACAGATAGAAAAAATGCAGGCGTGAGACAGAGTCAATAGTGTTAAAATCCCTAGATCTAGGCATCCCTGAGGCCAGCATCATCTCTAAACTTTCTGTAGTTTCTTTCAGTGAAGCAATAACTTGGCCTTTTTAAGCTAATTTTAGTTTGATTTATGTTACCTGCAGCTAAAGAATTCTGCCAAACACAGGTGCCTAATATTTTGTGGCTAAATCATTTATTCTCATATTAAACATTAAGCCATTGTCTATTTTTTTTATTTTAAATCAATTTTATTTAAAATATATATATATTATTTTTCAAACCATTATAAATGAGATAAATATGAACAACCTTATACAAAAATATTAGTCTACATCTCTATAGATATGTTCTCAAGAATAGATTCATAGAAGTGCAATTATAGGGTCAGAGCATATGAACTCTTTTAAGTCTCTTAACTCATATTACTAAAATTTTTTCATAAATGATTCTATCAACTTATATTTCTATCAACAATATCCTTTATTCATTTCATTATACTCTTATCAACACTGATTGTTATCATTTTTTAGTCTTTGTTAAATGATAGGCATAAAATCTATCATTTTATTTTACTATTCTTAGATGACTAAAAAGTTGAAACTTTTAAAGATGGGCATTAGCTTTTGCTTTTCTCCTTCTACAAACTGATCACAATGCTCTACCCATTTGTTTTTTGGGATTTGGGTGTTTGCTGTTCCCTCAGCTTGAGAAACGCATACTCCAGATATTGTCTGCTTGGATTCCTCACCTCTTTCGATTTGTTTTTCAAATGTTACTTTCTTATGAGATTTTCCTAACCATCCCCCAAACTTCCAGCACTACCTATCCTGCTTTTATAATTTTTTTCTCCATATCACTTATCCCTATTCTAACATTGCTCTGTTTTCTTCATAGCCTGCTTCCTTCCCTCCCTCTCTCCCTCCCCTATGCTTCCTTCTCTCCCTCTACTCCTCTTCCTCTTCCTTCTCCTCTTTCTCTTTCTCTCTGCTCTCTCTCTCATAAGCTTCACTGTGAAGGAAGAGGTTTATGTATCCCCAGCATCTAGAATATCAGTTGGTACATACTGTATAATCTATAAATAGATATTGAATAAATTGAGATAATATATTTATGTGACATATAAAGACATCGACTCATCATATTTGTGGCAAATATTTTCCTCATCTAATTATTTACTTTTTAATTGTTTTTTAACCACAAATTTAAACTTTTAATGTGAATTGCCCTTGTGACTTCTTCAATGCCACTTTGGTCTTAAAATGTCCTTCCTTAAACGTAGATCAGCTATATTTATCTACTTTCTACATTTTATATCCACTTTGTTTAATTTTGTACTTTTGTTCATGATTCCTTCTGTAACAAGAAAACTAAAAAGCTGGAGTGCTGGAAACAAATCTTACCTAGAGGTGCTATGTTGATAACGTAACCATCACCCAAGTACAGGGCCCAGTGCTGATAGCCAGGGCGAAATACTTCAATTAAGTCCCCTGGCTGGGGGTTGCCAGGATATTTCAAACTAAAGCAATCATTAAACGCCATCTGTAATGACAGACACAAAGAAGATCCAGCTGATACAACTTGCCAAAAGGAAATAAGTTTTAGACTTTCACAGAAGCACAAGAAGAGAGAATTTATTGGGACTGCATTCCTTATTAAAGACTTAGACTCACACTTCATCCTCTTCTTTGAATGATTCCAACACTGAATTATTTGTGCACAAGTGAACAAGTGGAGAAAGAATTTCTCTGCTAGTGCTTAATTTTTTATAGCAATGTTTCTCATCCTGATCAACTCCAGAGTTTCTTTATTACAATAAGCATTTTATAATTGTTTTTAAATCCAGAAATTCACACATATTGTAATTTACTTAGACGCAAAATTTCAAAGATATATTAATATGATGCCTTATTTGGAATAGAAAAAGGAAGGAAATTTATATCAACATCTGTTTCACCATGTAAATATTCAGTTCATGACTACACGAAAACATATAATAAAGTATCTATATGCTCGTACTTACAGAGCATGAAAAAGTCAGGATTCAGAAGCAGAAGAGAAGTCTTTCAGCCTTTTATATAGCAGCATAGTAAAATAAAAAAGCAGAGGTATAGCTGGACGCTAATATTCTGGCAAAAAAAAAGTACTTTGTATTGCAAAACTTTGTGAGTTTATTTAAGCAGACATAAGTTCCAGTCTCAGACGAGTGACCAGCCAGATATTCAGGCATCCCAAGGGATACAGGACACTTCTTCCTTGTGCTGAACCATGCTGTGCATGTCTAGGCACTCTGCCTCCACCTACTTAGCATCAGTAAATGCCCTTTGTCATTGTGACAACCACAAACAGCCCACAGATTTTCACCATGTACCTACTGCTCCGCATTCTCTCTTAGTCCTCACTTACTGATTCTAGAAATAGTGCAAAGTGGTCAGTGTAGAAGTGGAGCTATTTGGAAGGTCGGGGAATTCATCATATTGATGAGTATGTCTGAAAATTCTAAGTTTGGTGAGTTTTTCCTGTTAAATCAATGCTTTTCAGGGAAAAAACATAAAAATCTTTGACAGTTGATTTTTATGGAGGGTTACATTTTACACATATGGCACAGAAGTAGAATGAGTCAGTAAGAGGAACTTATGTACAACGATCAATAATCAAAAAGAGATCCAATGCTACATCCATGTTGAATATCTAACTGTTCCTCAGAATTTCTCAAACTAATGTAGATAGGTAGAATCACTTACAAAATAAATCCAAGCACCAGAAAGGGAAACTTCCAAGTCATCTGAATTATAATTATAATAGCATAGGCTAATGACTTGGGGATACAAACTATCATTTTGCTGGCCCTCTAAAAGACTTTTTTACAACCATTAATATTGGGAGGGTGTTTTCCCAAGTATTTGTATGCCATCTGTTGAAAACTTGAATCATCATCACACTGGCACAGAAATGTGGCCAAATGTAAGTAGTCCATCTGTTGAAAAATAACTATTAAAACAACTTTATAGAAACCATTAAGTCTAACCACTCTCTCAAATATGTTTGGGTCTTATTAATATGGCAGTTCACAATTTGGCCACGTGGGTACTAAAAGGAAAAACAGATAATATACTATAATATAAACAAACACACTTTCTATGAATAGGAATCAGTGAACACACACAGCTGCATGCTAGCGTTCAAAGACCTAGTGAAGCTTACAATAATAACCACTATCTAAACAGAGAGCACTTTGTAATGTAACTGTTTATTTTCAAATGCAATATTCTCGATTAACCTTATTTAATTTTTTTTAAAAAACCTACAACTATTTGAGCCTATTATGTTATTAACCCATTTTACAGATAAAAAGTGACAGTAGAAAATACCAACTTTGGGGAAAATACCACCGAAACCTTTACATTATAAACTACAGAGAGGAAAATAACTGGACCAGGTGTTAAAAATGTGACATCTTGTCTCTGGTCTTCTATTTGCTTGTCTTGTCAGTTTGGGAAAGTTATTCACATTGTCTGAGTCTCAATTTCTTCATTTTGAAGGCAGGTATTAGAGAACATAAGGCAGGCTGAATTGTTTATTTCAAAAAACTATTGCAAATAACCTTTCATGAACTGGCTAAAAGCTGTTGCAAGTGCTTTGTGAACTGTCAAGAGCTAGGCAGGTAGATAGTGAGAGAGGTGGCTGTTTGTAAAGATAGAGACATTAGTTGATGGTTTATGTGTGATTTTAGTTCCTTATCCTTTCTTTCAGCCATGGTAATTCTGTGGAATGGATGATTCCACTGCAAAATTTTAATATTTTAACACATTTTAAATTCTGACATATAGCTTGTAAAGCGATTTACGAAATGTAAGCTAATGTTTTCATGAAGCCCATCATATTTATAAAGAGGGATGACAGGATAACAAGAAAAACATTTCATATGTGCAAGCTCTCAAGAAACTAAGGGAGGATACTGGAAGCAAATATGTAAGGGGAAAGTGATTTCTGACACCAAACACTTGGAATCACGGCAATTTACTGCAGAAAGGTACTTCAGATATTATCTAACTCGCTGCTCTCCGAAATTGCTTTTAACAGTGGGGCCCTGTATCAAACCAAATACCAGATGGACCCACAATAATATAAAACATGAAAAGCAGCCCTTCCCTGGACAAAGCCAGGGAGAGGCATGAGAGTCCTATCTGTCCCTCAATGCTGCTGCTACTAAGTAAGGCTCCTGGGGCTCCAGACCTTCCAGGAATGGAGCCTGAATGACACCCGTACAGTTCTAGTGCATCCACCTTATTTTTAAGACAGGAAACAGACCCAGGCAGGTAATTTGACTTGGTCAAGATCATGTGCTATTTTACAAAAAAGATTCTCAATAAATGGCACTGGAGCAATTGGACTTTCATTGAGGAAAAGAGAAAAAGAAAAAAACTTTGACCTAGTCTCATAACTTACAGAAAAAATAATTCAGAATGGATCATGAACTTAACTGTAAAACATAAAACTATAGAACACTGGGGAAAAATCATGGAGGAGAAAATCCTCAGGTCCTACAGTAAACAAAGAGTTTTTAGACTTGTTACCAAAAGTACTATCCATAAAAGGAAAAACTGGCAATTGGATGTCCTCAAAATTAAAAACATTTGCACTGTAAAATATCTGTTAAAAAGACAAAAAGACAAGCTATGGAGTGGGAGAAAATATTTGCAAACCACATATTCAAGAAAGCACTAGTATGGAGAACGTATAAAGAACTCTCGAAACTCAGCAACAAAAAAGCAAAGAATACAATTAGAACTTGAGCAAAAGACACAAAGACATATTTTAACAAAGAAGAGACACAGATGTCAAGTAAGGCATGTTGAACAACACTAGCCATTATAGAAATGCAGATTAAAACCAAAATGAGATAGCACAACACATCTACCACAATAGTTAAAATAAAAAATAGTGACCACAGAAAATGTTGGCAAGGATGCAAAATGACTGGATCGCTCATTATTAGTGAAAATATAAAACAGTATAGCCACACTAGAAGAAGTCTGACAACTTCTTTAGAAACTGAACTTCTAACTTCCATATGATACAGCAATTGCACCTTAGCCACTTATCCCAGAGACTGAAGACAATGAAGATTTATATTAACACAAAAACCTATACACAAATGTTTACGGCAGCTTATTCATAATAACCAAAAACTGGAAACAACCTAGATGACCTTCAATAGGTGAAGAGTTAAACAAATGGGGTACAGCCATACTATGGAACACTACTACCAAGGCAGTTTTGAGGCAGTTTTGAGCTATATATAAGAAAATTTTTTCTTTTATTGAAGGTGACTCAACAATGGAATGGAGCACCTTGTACAGATAGCAGTTTCTGTCACTGGGAATATTTAAACATAGTCAGGGTTGAGAAAAATATGATTTCCAGGGTAAGGAGGTCCCTTTCAACTCTAATGTTCTCTCATTCTATTTCCCAAGAACTGTGCTAGGTGTAATCCTCAAATCAACACCACAAAATAGATATTATTATTTCCTCCATTTTAAAGATGAGGAACCCGATGTTCATAGTAGATTTGGAACTCGCTCAAAATCATGCAGCAGAAAAGGGCAGAACCCAAACCTGGATTCAGATTAGCCTACCTCCATGGTCGGCTCCTAATCCTAACTGCTTCTATCCATGTACACTATACTGCCTCCCTTGCTAACGATTCCCGTAGCCCTTCTTGCACACTGTTAGACTGATTAACAACTGTGAGCTGATTATTATGATCACAATTTTACGGATGAGTTAAGTATCAGACCCAAAGTCACACAGGTCGTAAGTGACAGAATTAGAATTCAATTCCAGCTGTGTCTTCTTATTCCAAACTGCATGCTCTTTCTTTATACCACTGATTAACATCGTTAAACAGAGGGATTTCTACTAAACAATATTTTGTCTTCTCCCTCTTCCCAAATATCCATTAGATAGAGAAGCTGCAAAACACACAGAATATATATTTCATATAACAACAAAGGAAGTTTTTAAATATTCATATGTGGAACCAGTGAGTAATGGGAAGTAGAGCCTTGGGGAACCTCTGCTCTTCTTCCGCAGGGGAGGTGTCAAGGTGGGGCTAGACGCATCGAGAAGATGCCAGGACTCAGACCTTAGCCTACCTGTTTGTGCAATTTGATTTACATTTATCACATCTACCCTCTTCATTAAGGCACAGGTATGTAGTGCTGCATAAATATAACACGAAACCAATTAATGATACATTTATAAAGTCCTCTACTGCGATCTGTGTGTGTCATCTTTTAGGTAAAAATATTTCATTTTAACAGTTCATCTGTACAGAATTGTTTGCCTAGTTTATAATAAAGAGCGGCATAAAGATAAGTCTAAAATCTTTGTACAAGAAATTTCTTGTTTCAACTGCCAAAACAGGCTGTCCTGTTTATAGCTCCATGTTGATCCTTGGGGATGCATCAAAAGAAATAACTGCCCCCTGCACAGACAGAAACAGGTTGATGAACTGTTGCTCATGTCCATGAGGCCAG